AAAATATCTCCAAATAATTATTTGCTGTTACATAAGTAGTCGAAGTCAGGTAAGGCTCAAGCTATCTAAAATGGCTACCACCTTTTATTGGTAATTTAGAACTCAAACATCCCACGGATACTCTAGCATTAAGAATTCCTTGTGTGTTACCAAATATCACCTTCGGGAAGATGGTTTGCAGTTAGACAGTGACTTCAAACAATGAATATAGTCTGTCGTAGTGTATCAGCAAAGTCCACTGTTTATTGATATAAGTATAAAACTTGGGCACTGTGGTAGAGTGAAACTCCATTATGGATAAGATTTTATTCTGATAAATCACACAGTGTTACACAGTAATATTAACTTATGACGTTTCGAGCACAAATTATTGCTCATAATCATATCAAATTGATATGATATGATTATGAGCAATAATTTGTGCTCGAAACGTCATAAGTTAATATTACTGTGTAACACTGTGTGATTTATCAAAATAAAATCTTATCCATAATGGAGTTCCACTGTTTATTATCTCAAAGGGGCTTTGTTGATCTCCACTAGTGCTTAAGACAATGTCACTTCCTCATGCAAACTGTTAATAGATGGTAGCTAACGGATATTTAAATCAATCTTTAAACTATTTCGGTCATCGCTGCAGTAAATGTAAGCGGATTGAAAATCCACCATTGAAAAAGATACGTTTTTTCTGACTCTTCTTTTCCACAGCCTCTTCATAAAAACACAATTACGTAAATCCGATATCCTCCTTTATTTGAGCTGCAATCATCATTTTCAGAGTCTAACTGCATGCTTCCCCTGGCATAAATTATTTCAAATGGTCTATGAATTCCTTCTATCACTTGCAGTCATTCCATGAGACAGGCGGAGGTAGAAAGCACTTATGACACATTCCTAACTCCAGGTTAGTTTCACTAAGTGTTTTGAATGGCCTTTCTGTGTACATAAAAACACATAGGCATTTTCGATTAAACAATGCCAAAAAGCAATATCATTCATTCACATGGCTTCCTGAGAAGTTAGTCACACACTGGCATGGTAAAAGTTCATGTTAGAAACTTGTAAAGAGACAGCTTAACTAAAAACGTGACTATTTTGTCACACTCTAACCAGACCTGATAACAGCAACGTGATATTTGGTGAAATGGTCATTAATCGAATTCACCTGCAGGTTAAGCTAATATATTGTTTGTCAGATCGACTTTTAATTTACGTTACGAAGGCAATTAAGAAAGACATCTATGGAAGATAATGTTAAATTTCGTCATATTCACTTTAGTTTGATACCCGTCGCTAACGCCTCAAACGACTGTGGCTCGGATAAAGTAAAGGATGAGTTCTATCAAAAAATGTTTAGTTTGCTGTTAAAAGAAAAAATCCCGGATTTACTTATTTTACCTTGTGACTGCAATACTCAAGTAGGGAAGCTGTGAGAATCAAAAAAGTATATTGGTGACAACTTTGGAGTCCAATGATGACAAACAGACAGTAGTGACCTTCTTTACAGTTCTGTCCCGATAATAATAATTAGCACTAATTCCAAACATAGGGACAAACATTGCCTCACCTAGCAACCTCCAGCATTAAACTAACGATGGACACAAATAGATCGATATGGACGTCCTGTAGAAGGTTGCCGCTCCTTGCAAAGGTGACGCATATTTGTAAATGCCAAGAGAAGCTTTTGTATTCGATCCACTTAAGCTATGAGTCAGTGCAGACTACCCTAGTAGCATCACTTAGTATATGAATGGGGTGAATCGAATATTAAACACGCTCAGATGTCTGCTCGCTGTTCAGAAGACTGGGTATTTTGTCAAAGTATTTACTATATTAGCTTCATATTCTAAGTTGAGATCCCCCAGCACCAAATCAATCGCTAAAGCACAAAAGTCAACAAGGACCACACCCACTAGTACATCCTAAATAACATAAAATGACAGCAGCGACAATGATCACCACCGAAAGATATCACTGTACTGTTTGTTGTCCGTTCACATTACAACTGTGCTCATTAAGGACTACATAATTTGAACAACAGTGCCCTGTATACTGCAACGTACACTCGGGAATTCCTTCGTAACCACACTTCGCCATAATATCTACTGATTGTCTATGCCAAATTATTTTAGTTACCTGGAAGAGACTCTTCGTGAACAGGGTTATTAGCTGATAGTGCTAGACAGTTTCCTCAGCTACGATTCATATGCAGGACCTATTCTCCCAGTGTCTAAGCCGCATCTTCACTCTATGTCAGATGCTGCCTTTTGGTGAAGAAACGTAGAAAATGTAGGATGTGACCAACGAATTCCCGTCTGGACCTTCAGCTTGCCTGATTTCCTTGAATTTGCTTTCTCTGATCCCTATTAATTATCCATAATTCTAAGAAGACTACTGATCCCTTCCCTGTGATTATCAAAAGAGTCACAACTAGGTCTTGCAATGTTACTTCATCTCAATTACTGACAAATGTTATAACTTCGGCTACAGATGGTGATATAATATCGCATCATTCATGATGGTGTAACTACAGGCTAGCTCACACTAGTCATCCCGTTCGTAGCCTACCAGAATTTTTGTGGTGTATTTCAGTCCGGTTGAAAATACTGTAATTTACTGGTATTAAGATTTAGCTGCAAATTACCAATAACCGGCAGTACTGTTTCCCCGAAAGCTCGTATATTATGCCAGACTTCGTCAGGATGAGTGTTTCTATAACACAGACATCTCTTTTCAGTCATGCACTGCCTGAATAAAAACCTCACGTTCACATAGAAAGACTAGACAATTAAGTGCTTCGTAATTACTTGCCTGCCAGGTGGATAAACATAACAAGTGAAGGTAATCAACATGCATCGCTAAGCTGAAATTCGGTGAACTTATTTGGTATTATAAAGGTCTTTGTATTACTCAGCCAATGGAAAACGATATTGCTTCCACTGACTTTTTGCTATTCAATGCTTATAGCTCTATGAAAGTATTATTAAACAAGAATTTACAAAATCGCAGCTAATATACAGCAACTTAATCATGGTGTTCATTTCTTCTGATTTGATTTCACCCGAGGTTTGTCTGATGTATATCGCACCACATTTCAAGCATTTTATTTTATAGACACAATTAGATTGTGAATCCTTTGGAATTCGGTCTTTTACATAGACAAGGTTACTTTGCAATCACATAATCTGCACATGGTCATACTATGTTTACCAACTGACCAACTTGACGATGTAAAAATTAACTAATACTGGAGAAAAGTGATTAAATTGCTGTATATTAACTGAGATTTTGTAAATTCTTGTTTAATAATACTTTCATAGAGCTATAAGCATTAAATAGCGAAAAGTCAGTGAGAACAATAGTATTTCCTAGCAAATGAAAAACAACGATAAAAATTTTACACTAATATGCAGTGTACAAATTTTTTCAAACTACTGAAAGTGAACTTGGTAGTAGAACTAAAATCTGACCTGTCAACTTTTAACCCACTTGACGACTCAGACTGAGTTAACCTTTGATCAAAGACTTTCGGTTCTATCAGACTGAAGCTACGCTAATAGACGGAAATACAATGAAATACAGCAAATTGAAAATATTCTTTCTTACCCCCAAAGATTGTAACGCTGGTGTTCTTCCATAGAATAAAAACGTTACACAGAATGCTAGCATGATCAACTCGTGAATTCCTATCATAACTAGTAACATGAAAAACGACGTTACAGCAAACTGGGCTTAGTTTAATTACTTTTCAGAAATGTAATATATGTTACTGAATATAGGATGCGTGACATATTAAAAACATCTGGTTTGAGGCCGAAAGGACATATCAGATTGCTAAGTAGTACACATTCGTAGCTATAAAGCAATAGAAGCAACTACTATAGTGTTTTCAAGCAAATGAATTGAACGCATTAGGATCATGTGCACCTGTTTTTTATCAAGGTGTCTTCATTCCCAGCTATTTCTCCAAACTAGGTTAGGTATGCAAAACAGTGCTGGACAAAATAGGCTAATTGAAAACTGCACTCACATTAAGATTCCTATGCACAGTGGTTGTTCTTAAGTGAGCTGGTTAGTACTCCAATACCACAACCAACATTCCAGCGAAAATTAGATGTCAAGGGATGCGAGCAAGCTAACTAGACAAATATTATCACTTAACATACATAATAGATTGAAAACACCATATCCGCATACCTTTATTATGACGAAGACCAACCAACTAATACCTCGTCCATGTTCGAGGTTAATCGTCAAATTGTTACCGAGCTACAAAACTATATTACGCCTAAAATTCCAACTGAGTGAGCATATAAGCGTAGAAATATAACTTATTTGGTTTCCATTCCGATCCTTTTGATGGAATAAACTACCACTATCCAGTACTTTATGTTAAAGGGCTGTATTTTTGTCTACGCTTACCACACTTCCCAATAAGAGTAAGTTTCGCACAAGTTTGAGCAACAGTTGTGAACAAAACCCAATCTATGACCTAAAAATATATCATTTACATTGAGGCAACTCAATAATTACGTGCCCCTTGGCATAAATGAATAAATCGTAACTGTCTGAAAACTAGTGGCACTAACATGCTACTCGGTGGCTTTTGCAGCCATGAAGCACACTGAAAGTGAAGAATGTCAGTGCACTAAACCAGAAAATGAGCTCACTTAAAAACGAATCATCAAAACAGAAGACTGCTCAGTACGCCATAGTTTGGTGACTTTTTTTGGATCTTACTATAAATTAAAACCGATAAAGCAACATTTGAAATTGTAACTGCTTTTAAAAAATCACAGAAACATGATAAACAGATGGAATAAGTCCCACAGGACGTGCTCATCAAAGTACAAGTTGTATTTCAATCCTGTTTCATTAGTGATGCAGTGGTTTCTATCATATTCGATCTACAAAGACTCATCGGAATTACTCTGCACACATTACTTAGTTTCACTTACAAAACTCGATGAACCAACGTTAAGACAAAGTAAAAGTCATTTTACTGAAGTTAAGAATTTAATATTTCGTAAAAGTGCATAGGATAATCTTTCGAGAAATGAATATTAAATATAATAATCTGACATATAATCGGGTAATTTCTAGATGGAAATGGTGATGAGGTAGGTGGTACTGTACAATGGAGCTAAAAGGTGAATGTTACTAAACGGGTGAATACACAGGACGAAACCACATGATTATAGTGTAGTATCGTTTAGTTCTTCTAAATGGCAAAAAGCGAAACAAACTGATTGTAAATTGTACGGAAAATATTTTAGAACTAAATATCCATATATTATGTGGCGCTTCACATGAAAGATTAAAGGACAAAATTATTAGAGAATCAAATTTAAACCTAAATAATAATAATAATTGAAGCTTGCTTAAGCTACTTTACCAGACAAAGCAGGACAATCTTTATCAAGGTGGTTGACGACGAACATTTTCAAACGCTCCACTTCTATTCTACTGCGAGATAATCGGTTACGCAGTGCTTTGTTTTCTTCAGAAAGATGAATAACATCTTTCTCTAGACTTTTAATTAACCGAATCTTCCTTTCTCTACATTTGCGCGCAGCGTCACGGTTTCTCGCCCGCTTTCGCTCTAAACGCATGCGAGACTGTTCCGAAGGATCTAAACGAGTGTCCTTCAGATTAGATCCGGCGACGTTCCTCGAACTATTTCCTTGGGAAGAAGATGACACGGAAGAAACTGAAGATGACCTGATGTTAGGAATATTGTCATTCTGATCTAAACCAATATCGACTGAAGAGGGACGGGTATCATCTGGGTCTTGCGGTGAAGTTACTGAGACAGTTCGCTGATTTTCTGTCGTATCAACTGGAGGCAAGTTTGTTTGGATATTTAAAGGCCAAACAGCATGTTCAATTGGTTGGTTGGTTACCTGAGAACGATGAACAATTTCCGCTTGAGGTTCAATACCCAGCATTTGGAGGACTGATGCTTGTGAAGCCCCGTTAGTTGATATTCCAAGACGTAGGCCGTTTGCTAGTTGAACGGTAGCAACCTCGCTATCTGAAGACTGCTGCAAAGTATTAGGAAGAGAAATAGAAAGCGAATTTTGTAGGTTTGTAAATGTGATACTAGGCTCACTAGTTGTATTTAGTGATTCAGTTTGGGGTGATTGGAAAGCAACAAGATTGCCAGGAGTAACAGTTTGAACACCAGACAATGACTGAGCATCGAAACAAGTTGGTGAGTAGAAAAGTATTGGTGCCGGAGTTGTGTTCATCCCTGCCTGACTTGCCTGGCGGCATAATTCAGCGAAATTCGGGAGATTTTGGGGGGTTATATCGGCCAGATTAACATTGTAGAGACTATTACTGTTGACAGCTGATGTAACAGGACTAAGTGCTGCTGTTAGGGATGCCAAACCAGAAGCATCTCTAAGCTCATTTAGTTTTTGGGTAAACACACTAAAAAATGTTACATATAGTGACTGTTACTTACTTCGCGAATCTTTCTTGTTCTTCTGTGACATGTTTGGGATTAAGGAAACTTCCTGGGGTCTGCGGTGAGGCTTTAAGATGCTGGAGAATTTTTTCCACTTCTGAGCGCAGTATTGGCTGGAGTTCCTCTAGAGAAGGAGTGAGAAAGGAAGACAACGCAGGACTCTTAATTGTATTATCCAACAGAATATTTAGAGTTGTAGGGCGAGGTGCAGGTGATACTTTAGGTGGAACGGATTCTGTGGTTAAAGGGTCACCTGATGTTTGACTTTGATTCATTTCTCCTATGTGATCACCACGAACGATTAGCCAGTCAGGCTGATGACTCACCCGACCAATACAGATGACTCAAGGTCTTAGACAGTGATTTATGAGAAGTACTCATTTGGAACGATAAAACAAACGAGTTCACTATTTTCAAAACATCCTGTTATCCGAATAATTTTAAGGACATTTGATAAATTTCACTTATATATTTCAACTTTTTAAGTCATCCAGTTGTTCTGTGGATTAATTACCAAGTGGAGATATAAAAGACATGATCATAAATAATTAAGTTATTAGTGAACTTGTACCCACAATCTCATTCTGAAATCACTTTCGCGTGAGTTTTTTGTCTTTAGGCAAGTGTTTGAATTGGATAAAACCATAACGGATTTCAGTCTTGTTCTTCTCTTGTAGATATTGTTATGTCGTTACTGTCTTAAAGTACGTTCGTTAAGACTATTATGCGTAAAGCTGGCATATGTTAAGTGAACTACTGCCAATCAAAAGAAGGACTTCGTTTTTCTGAATTGAGGGCTTCAGCTTTAAAAACTAGTCAGGCTAATGGAAAAAGCAGTAGGATTTCTTTCCGTCTTGAGGGTTGGCGATTTTACTCGAACTATGATCACTCACCCAACAAGAAAGAGTTGACTTTCTGCTTTTAGCTCTGATGAGATTGTTAGTTTTGAGAACCACATCCCCTAAATGTCTTAAAGAAAGTTCTTGTTCATGCAAAAACAATATTCATACTTCCGCTTTCATTTACTTGAGGTACTTCAAAAATAATATCATCAGGTGACTACCTACTTTTTCTTAATGCAGAGCATTTCTTAGTGATTCCCTCCGCCATAAAGAACTCGAACGGTTGGAGTCACGGCACAGAAATCAAAAGATCATTTAAAGTTACTGTAATCAGGAGTTTTACCAGGTCGTTGTCTAGAGGGGTTTATGGGTTCATTTCTGACTAAGTAGTGGAATTTTTTGTGATTGACTTAATTTAGTAGCCTTTTTGATCATATTGATCTGGGTGTAATATACTGTTGTATGAGATTTACTTGAAAACAAGAGTAAAATTGAGGTTAGCACACGTCTATGGTGAGTGGTCGCTACATTTCAGGTCGCCATAATGCAAGGTATCCCTGCACCATCTGATAATCTGAATCGTCAAAACACACAGGGCTGAATGAAGGCATCTAGATATAGCTTTACCTCAGTTTTGAGAAATAAATTGAAGTTTCAGTTACCATGATAACTTAGAGTCTGTAAGCGTTAGGATAGGCATTTTTCTTGTCTTAGTGTAAATGCAAGACCCTAGCATTATCGCTATCACTGAAGCATAACTTGTCTTCAGTTCTGATAACACCCAGGCTGTTGAAGCTCAGCCACCTGTAGAGCGGCAATAGGCGGAACAATTTCTTCATCAGTTCTGCCTTCGAAATGCGACTTTGAAGTTCCTTCTGCTGCGTTGGTCTGACTAGTACTGTCATCAGAGTGCCAGTGGAAATTACACATGATTTTATTCATTATGTGGAGATTGATGCAGTTTTAATCAAGGGACACGACAAGTATAGACCGCGTCACTATCGATTGACAACGTTCTTTTAGCACGTAAAATTAGAGCAAATACAAGTGATGCTGACAGACAAGTGAGTTCAGAGAGCCTGTGACAATCAACAGCTATCGATGACTTTCCACCAGTTTATTTGCTCTCTGTTTTACTATAAACCAACACCCGCAAACTTTCTGTGAATTATAGATACTATGCTCGCTAGTCAACCTGTTTTGTCTAAGAAACCGGTTGGCTACGCTACCTGGACGACTTCGAGCCCATTTCCTGTTGGTCTCGACCAGAGAGAACTCTCGTGATTTCTGTGTGGCTATCTGTCCTGTTAGACCTGAGTTTCAGCCTCACCACCGGCTGACTTTTTTGCCTAGACCACCTAAACTGGTGGCCAAGCTCTTCTCAACATCACCCAAACTGGTGAAAGGATAATATAACTCTCACAGCTGTCCAATGGTGCATTTATTAGCTACAATATGAATTAATGAAGGGGATACTCAGTTACGTCACAACTAAGCTGCCAAGCTATTGTCCTTTGAAAATTCAGCCATCCATCCCATGCTTAAATGTACACAGATAAACAAATTGATCGTTGCAGGTTCGACTGATTTGACGAACTTCTTTGATTCCCCAACAGTTGTCTGTCTAGACGATGTGATAACTGCGGAGAGTAGTTAGTCCGAATCACTTGATCGATCTGATGTGTCGTCTAAATTATCAGAATTCGCCTTCCCCATTAAAGAAGATAAATATACATTTTTGTGGATTCTGTAAAGTATCTTTCGATGAACATAGACCAAATCGAAAAAATTTACGTGCTGTGCAGAACTCATCCACTCTCCCTAATATTGCAGCACTATGATCTTTTCTTGGCCATAATAGTTATTACATTGCATAGTGGAATCTGTCTTCTAAGTGTCAGCATGCATTTGAAAACGTTTAGCGTCTAATTATTTTAGATGTGATGCTTACTTATTATCACCCTTATCTGGATATTATTGTTGCTGCAGATGCGTCAGATTACGGTGTAGGTACTGTAATATATTGATTGGACGGGGAAAGCTGTTGAACATTCAACTAAAACGTCAAACACAATCTAACACAAATACAGTCGGACCACAGCTTATCTTCTGAGCGGAAAATTTCCTCAAAATGTCTCATGACAAAAAAATCTACTCTAATTATCTGCCGCAAACCCCACTTGTCGAAATTTAGTTCGGAAAGTGGTTTTCTCCCTAAGACTGCAAATTCTCTCTGAAGGTGGGCTGTAATGTTGCCGTGACATAATTTTGGTATCAAATACATATCTAACCCTAAATTCGCTAAAGCGAAAGCAACAAATTTACCCAGGGATCATAATGTCCACACAATACAGAGCTATGTTCCTGGCCAGTACCAGAAAAACTAAGCTTTAATGTTCATGTTGATCTAATGGAACCGTACAAAGCGCTTTCCAAATGGCCAGAGATCTTTCTCTTGCATCGCGTAACATCAAATGCAACAGTGTCCCGGCTACATCATGTGTACAGTCACTTTGGTTCACAGTTCACATCACCGATTTGACATCCAACACACCAACACCTCTCAAGCTCTAATGAACAGGCCGACCGATCCGTCAACAACTTCAATCGCGCTGTCACAAAAGCGAAGGGGGAGGGGACATCCACTGATAAGTTGGACAGAATTGTACGATACCAAACCATTCCACTCAGGTATCTCCAGTGAATATTATGTTTTAGTTAGACCTGAGCGAGCGGAGCAAGGCTGCAAAAACACTAAAAAAGAACATCGGTTCATGTAAACTTTAGTTTTTGAATTTCATCAGCACGGTAGCGTGTGATCTTCCTATTCACCCCCGACATGGGTGCGTGGAAAAGTAGACAGGACGGAAACGTCTAATACAGAGTGAATTTAGAAGGACAGATATGGATCAGCCACACAAAAATATAGATCTCCAAGAGAGCCCGTGCGTTGGTGGCACGGCGGTTAGGACGCTAGCCGACCGTGCACATGGTCCGGAGTTCGATCCCCGGCCGACGCACTCCTTTACCTCGTCAAACAAGTAATAAAATGCCAGTAAAGAGGAAAGGTTGGGCATGAGGCTAGCAACCTCGTCCTCTAAAAGTAAACACTGCTACAGAAACTTCAAGCCTCTAGCAATACTAAGGTTAAACACTATCCACTATCACCCGAAAGTCAGTTCAGCAATGGAGAGGACTGAAACTTTTCCTGATCGAAAGAAGAATAATGTCTTACAATTTTGACCGAGGAGTGGTATTAATAAACGGTTAAAAGTGCAGCCAATATTTTAACTCAATAGTCGCAGAGGTTGATAACTTCAGTTTTCAAACCTGGGTTTAGTTTATAATCAGGACATAATAGCTTCATTGTATAACCTTTGAAACTGTCTGAAAGTAATGTTGGGAGAAAGGTCTATAATCGTCTTATGAAGAAATAAGAGGTGAGACAAAGTATGACTCTATATGGACACCTAGAAGCTCATATAGGAAAGAGCGAGAGATGGCGAACAGGAGATAAGTTAATGCAAAGAAGTAAAACGAAAGTGGGGGCTGCGTTCAGCGTACAACGTATTGAATAAGGAAGTTTAAAGGGGTCCTGGGAAAGACAAGACATTATTTCGTGACACACTGTCCACTGAGGCACAGTATGCCGAAAGTCAAAGTGATCTCACATACCTAGGTAGCAATCCGGGGAGAGAAAAATACAAATAAAACCAATGGAATACAGTCAACGAGGCCCAGTTACCAAGGAGGATAAGCAGGAACGACAAGGTGCCGACCATCTCGAAGAACCCTTAAGCCGAACGCCGCATACAGTTCGTCCAGAAAACCCATCAGTGGCCCCAGAGCTGTTAGTGAAAGGCAATCTCATGGCAAAGTGGAAGTTTGGGATGTCGTAAAGAAACTTGAAGTTAGCAAGCAAGTAAGTAACGACGGACACAATTCCTCAAGAAGCACCAAAATTGAACCCAGAGACCTTATTTGATATCCCCATGCCACTTTTGCCCTGAGTTTGAAGACAGGTACCTACTGACTGAAGAAAAGGTAACTTTGTCAAAGTGCTTAAGAAGAATGACTTAGAACTTTACACAAACTGGCATAGAATGATACTTCTGCCCACTCGAAGCAAAATATTAAGTAGCATCAACTTGAAGAAACTAAAGAACGCCGTATACGCAAAACTATGCCCAGGAACAAGCTGGGTTCAGGAAAAATAAATCACATGAGGACCCAAATGTATAACTACACATCATCACCTGACAACGCATAGAATAGCAATCAACTCTTCAACTTGACTTCACTGACGTTAGAAAGTTCATCAGCAGCGTCTACCGCCTTCGATAATTTTGACCGCAATGCCATTTGGAGACTGTCTCAATACTAAGAAGCGTAGTGCCTCAGACGTTTACCAACCTCACTCAACGGTTATGAAGCCACAAGCCAAGTTACACATGACGGTTGGTTCTGTTAAGCATGGCAGGCAGGCTTTGTGACAATCAACCAATCTTTATGACCTGATTTG